CGATGTCCTTTCCGTCGGTGTCGACTGCCAACTCACGTAAGAAAACAGCGAACAGCTGTGCGCCCTTGTTGAAGTGGCGAGCTATAGTGATAGCTTTGATGCACGGGGCTTGGATGTAGTCAGGTATCCATGCAGGCAACTTAATTAGCCCCTCGTGCCTGTTGATGCTGCACGATCCCGTTGTCCAGTCGATGACGGGGTTGTGCCATCGCAGCCAATCACGTCCCAGCAGCACGTCGCAGCCGTCCAGCGTTGTCGCGAGAAACTTCATACTGACTCTTCCCATTTCCCTGCTCCTTCCTGTCGTTCCCCGTCAGCGGCGTTTTCTCGTGGCAGTCGCGCATTAAGTGACCCGTCTTCCCACACCTATAACACGGTCCCTTAGGAGGGCGGTCGGGTGTATGGACGGCGTTGATTGTGGCCCGATGGGTTTGGCCACTAAAACGGATTCCCTCCCGGGAAGCTGCTCTCGCATACTGCATCAGCGCATCTGTAGACTCCGCCAGCCGTACTGCTTCTAGGAATGATGTCGGGCGGCCCCTGCGAACCTCGTATTGAATCTCGTACTTGAGGCCGCTGATATATTTATCCAACCGCTCTGCTTCCGACATGTCATCCACTTGGTCGGCGAGGCCCATAAATGACGCTGTGTAGTCTTGGACAGATGCCATCTGCGGCCAGGCCTGCTGGTCGACTTGGTGGTTGGTCGACGAGGCGTGATGTCGACCTGGTGGTCGACCTGACCCAGTGGTCGATGGAGGAGGGGCCGACATCGACCTCGACTCAGGACGCCGAGTAGCTGGGCGTCGAGTAGCAGGGCGTCAACTTGGTGACGCCGACTTCGGGTAGCCGACGCCCCACTCCTTCCACGTGCGTATCTTGGTCACTCCGAAGATCGACTCTGCCACTTGATTAGTCACTGTTGAGGTCCCGTCTGCCGCATGTGACACACCTGTCGGGGTCCCCGTTTCCAAGGTCCGGCGCCACCACTCAAGCGCTGCGCCTCGAAGTAGCGAAACAGCGTAATTAATACGCGTGGCATCGTCGTTCACACCTGCTGCAGTGAAGAAGACTTCAACACCGAACAGCCACCCCTTCACTGTAGTCGTCTTGTCCGTAGGATTAAATGGGGGCGGGTTGAGGGGCTTAATCTTGATCGTCGTTACTGCAACTGGCGCTGTCGCTGCTCGCTGCCTGTCCTCCTCTTCGAAGTCACGTGTGAGCGCATCCAAGGGGTTGCTCACTGATTGACTGTTGCCCTCGCCTTCGTCATCGGGCGACTCCTGGCGCGCTTCACCTTGCGCCTGGCGTAGCTCGGCGTTTTCTCCACGTAAGGTTGTCACTTCCACCATTAATGACTTCATGCCCTCCTGCATCTCTGCCACTTGCGCCATGAGTCTGTTAACCGCTTCCTGATCCATGTGTCTAGCACTACGTCTGGTGGGCAAGCGGGTCTCCGTGGCCTTCAGGCGAATGGAAAACACGAACTATCGGAGTCGGGCAGGTTTGAATTAACAAACCCTGCGGCCAACCGTCGTGTAGTCCACTATACCAGCCACACCCGTGCCACCAAACTACCCTCGAAATGCGGGGTGAACTAGGAAAGTAGCTCTGATACCAGGTGTTATGAGTTGTAAAGGAGAGTGCGCAGATTAACGAATAACGAGGTTGTGATTCAACAGACTGAGAATACAATGAAGGCACACCCTAATGTAGTGGCTAGCCTAGCTAGGAGGGAACCTCGGGTGATCGAGGCAGGGTGCAGGTTTGGCGAAGGGAAACGCCGAAGGTGAAGCGAGGAGCCTCGGCATCGTTGATGTCGGCCAAACGTGCTGAGTCCGAAAGTCGGGGCTGTACGTGAAGCAGTCAACCCCGATAAGGAATGCGGGAAAATTCCTTACAACTAAATAAGGCACTAAAGTAACACTAGATTTCACATACAAGCACAAGATGTTCCCCAACAACATGTTCTGGTGGAACTCTCCGCCATCGATCTTGTCAGGCTCGTTAGAAGTTCCAATGTTAACCGAATCCCTGTTTTTTTGTGATTCTGAGTACATTAAAGCTCAAGGCCCAAATTGTTCAACCTTACTAAGGTTGACCGCTAGGCTGTGGGGGAGGCACTCACAAAACTGGGCGGGGGTGTTGAGCGAGGGGTGTTACACTTTCGCCCAACCCTTCGCTACACTTTTAAGGGGTGGGGGCTTCGTCTTTGGTTTCCGAAGTCCCAAGTTGCAACGTGCTGGTTCACAAGTTTCCTATTAGCAAACCATCAAGATTACTAATCATGACCTGCGCGATCCGCAATTGTCTTACCATCAGGCGAATTTGTGCTTGTCAGGCTTGACAGATAGATATAAAATTTGTGCTTATACTGGCATTTCATCCATCAGTATTGATGCTGCCAATTAAGACTCAAGGGTGCTCCTGCATTGCAGATCATGGTTATTTTTGTGCACCAATGTGGACATGAGTTTAATAATGTTTCCAAGCTGCACGGCGCTTGCAAGTCATGGGTTCAAGCATCACAACAAACCGAATAGTTGGCATTCCGTGTTTACAAATGGCTCAGGTTCAGCCTCTGGCTGCTATCGGGGCGCGTTTCATCATTGCAAATTGCCAAGGACGGACGTCGAGTCAGCGGCTGCTCTTGCGGCTGCAATAACCAAGAAACGCCCGTTTGCTCGCTGCTGGTAATGGAATCGCGTGATGGTCACAATGGTTTGCCGTTTGACGTTCAGCCTGGTCGACGGTCTGGCTCAGGGGGTTGGTTCTTAATGAGACCAAGAAGGACGGTGAAAATAATATCCCTGGTGAGGCTAGCGGTTCCTGTAAGCGCATGGTGGGCCAGAGTCGACAGAAGCGAACGACGAAGAGGATGACTAGGGGTACCTGAGTGATGATCCTAAGGAGGTTGCGGATTCGGGGATGATGGATAAAATTGCTGCTAGCGTTTGTTCTACTTGTTCTATACGTTCATGTCGCTCAATCGTCCTGGCCGAAGAATATCATTGAAGTGCTATTGCACTTATGGGAAAAATCTGTTACGATGGACATGGCGAAGACTGTGAAATTTCAAGTTCTTTAACCTACGTACCCGGCGAAGGCTCAGTAGGGCGCCTACATGTCACCTTCCTCAATGCTGTTAATGCCAACTTTGTGTATCATGTTGTTGAGCATACGTGCCTGAACGAGAAGTGTATCTTCTTGGATTGGCAGCATTCGGAAGATGTGGTGTTCACAAGGGAGCCACATCTGACATGATGCGCTGCATTGTCTGCTAGTAGATGAGAAGCTGTTAAAGTGTGGCAGGAATGCCTTCGCCAAAGGTTCCGCCTTCCACCAGGACGTGGGGATGGGTAATGATAGGATCAAGGGTCTGGAGTTGCTGCATAATAGGGACTGGTACCGTTGGAGGATACCATTGACGACCCTGTGCATCATGGGAAGAAGTCGTTTGTACATTTTCCATAGCTTACCTGCTCGTTGTGCAATGGTCAGCACGCTGCACGATACCCCGTTCATTATGTCATGCCGTGCCAGGAGGATATCGGCAAGTGGAACCTCACCCGGGAGAGCCAAGGAGAGGGACAAGGAGAGGAACAGAGAGAGATGGAGAGGGGGTGGCATGTCGTAGCCCTCAAACAGCTAGTACTCAAAAGTGTTGGTGAAGCCGTCAAAGCTGGGAGGGTGGGATGGGAGGGATAGGTAGGGGGACAGACAGAGGGATTGAACGGGGAGAGATGGAGAAGGGCAACATGCCAGAGCCATTCAAATGCAAGTTCTAAAACGTGATTGTGGGATTCGCAAGGCATGCAAAGATGGATGGGAGGAAGCGAAGCGGGAAGGTGGAAGGGGGGAAATGACGCATAGAGGCATCCCACACATGCTCTGCCGTACCCCATACTTCCCTGTCATGCACTGTTTTGCCCCAAAAATCCCATCCATGCACCTCCTTACCCCATATATCTTACAGAAGCACCGCATTACCCTCAAAGATCCAACACACACACCACACCGCGCTAACCCAGGTATCCCACACACGCACCGCCTTCCCCCAAGTATCCGAGCATTAGTAGGAGGCCAGAGAACGTGCGTGCAGTCTTGACACCTTGACCCGGGGCATTGCGCGTGCCAGGGACGGACAGGGATGAGAGCGCAGAGTGCGGGAAGGTAAGGGTTGGGGAGCGATGGAGAGGGGCGAATGGGAGGGGGCGAAGGGAGGGGGGAAAGGAGAGGGATCGAAGGAGAGAGGGAGAGGGGATGCGGTAGATGGACAGCAGGGAGGTAGGAAAGGGAGGGAGGGAGGAATGAGGGAAATGGAGGGAAAGAGAGAAGGAAGAATGGGGAGGAAGGAAGGGTCACACGCTGTGTGCTAAAACTTTTGAGAGGAAATGAGAAATAGACTTGAACTGGGAAGGGTCAGCGAAGGGAGTGAAGATGTAACATATTAACACAAAAAGAGAACAGACAAACCATGGGGTTACCACATTGTAAGCAAGAAACAACTGAGACGGGACAGGACAGGATGCACACCACGTTGAGGAAGAAGAGGCAGGAGCCAAGGATGATGATGATGGTGTACTCCCTGGGCTTGTACTGCTTGCGCGATATGAGCGTGCCCCATATCTGCAGCAACAGCAGCATGATTGCAGAAGCATTGTAGCATGGTACACGAGTACAGGAGAGAGTGTTTTAGGGTGAGGGTGATGGCGATGATGTACTCCCTGAGATTGTAATGCTTGCGCGATATGAGCGTGCCCCATATCTGCAGCACAGCAGCATGGTGACAGCATAAATATAGCAGCACGGTTGTAACAGCACGGTTGTACAAGCATGGTTATAGCATGATACACGAGAGTTTTTCTAGGATGTGGTGTGGCATGGTGTGGCGTGGCATGGAGTGGAGTGGCATGGTGTGGCGTGGCATGGCGTGGTGGTGTGGCATGCATGATGTGGTGAGTCATGGAGTGGTGCTGCTGCAGGCATGGCTCGGTCAGTCACATGGCACCTGGCCGGGTCACAGGGCTTACCAGCACAGGCATCATGCGGGATGACTTGGCTATGGTCTGCAGAGGGAAGCTCACGTACTTGAGGGCCTTTTGTGGGGTTGGGAGGAACAGGGTGGGATTGGGAGGATTCGGGTGGGGTTGGGAGGATTAAGGTGGGGTTAAGATGGGTTTAGGGTGAGTGGCCAAGAAGGGCGCGTGGGTGGGAGGGAAGACAGGGACAATGTTGGCGAAATTCTCAATCAAAGGGGAAGGGGAAAAAGGTGAGTGAAGTTTTTCTAGCATGCGCAACACAACCACATTCAACTTTTGAGTCTACTCAAATTTCAGCGGTCAATGCAGCGTACCTCGTATTGGCACCCAGAGGAAATGACATTGGAGAGCGACATGGAGGCATTTGAGGCGCCTCAGAAGCCAATACAGCGATCATTGCAGCGTGCTGCGTACCTCGTATTGGCACCCGGAGGAGATGACATTGGAGAGGGACACGGCACCATAGGCGTAGATGGGAGCCACCAGAGCCAACGACGCTCCTGTCACCTGCATGTGTGTTGTTGGGGATGGAACACGATGTGGGGTTTGTGCGCTGTGTGCGATGTACTGTGGATTTACCGGACGGGACTGTACAGTGGATGATTCTGATGGATGCAGCACATGGTACGATCATGAGCTCAATAATGTAACGATGTACAGTATCTAGTTCGTGCTGTAAGATGGCAGGTGGGTGGGGTCATTAGAGCACTGAGATGAGCACTGACATGAGTCAGCTGCATTGCAGAGAATGATGGAAAATGAGATGCTAGAGTAGAGCCGAACCAAAGGGCATCAGCTCACCAGGTGCACGATGACTGCCACAGCACACGTCATGAGGCGGTTACAGAGCAGCATGATGAAGAGGAAGATGTTAGAGAGGCGAACATTAGAGCATCGACTCAACGGGCTCTGACTCACCAGGTGCACGATGACTGCCACCGCGCACGTCATGAGGCGGTTGCAGAGCACGATGAAGAGCGAGTGCTGAAAGTACTCCGAGTCCTCGTCCCTGTCATCGTACAGGAGCTTCATTATCCGCTCCTGCGTTACAAGCACGTAGCACGTTCAAACCGCCAATCTAAGCAACACGATAAAGGCGCCACAGCAGGAATTCCGAACGACTACGGGAGTCGGAGTTGGAAATGGTGGATACACACAGCGGTGGAAACGGTGGAAAGCGGTGGATACACACAGCGGTGGAAAGCGTTGGATACACACAGCGGTGGAAACGGTGGAAAGCGTTGGATACACACAGCGCAGCGCAACACAAATGACGCGCCAAGGCTGATCGAAGAAGGTTCGTCGTTCGGGGTCGAAACTCGGAGCTACGCCACAACCGGCCCTTGACACAGCGACAAGTCCTTGCTAGCTCGCCTTACCGAACTTTGAAGCACGTGAGGGCCATCAGTGTCACAGCAGCGCAGCTGGCCAATACCGTAGAAGATGAGCTTGCCAGCGACGCAATGACTAGGTCGCATTGCCTGCCCTATCAGCCTAGGTCACCTCAAAGCCACGTAAGGGTCAATATTGTCGCAGCAACACACCTGGCCAATGCCGTAGATAATGAGCGTGCTCACCACGCTGACGACTTGGTCGCATTGCCTTATCGGCTTGCTAGGTCGCCTCACCAAACTCGATACACGCACATAAGGGCCAATATTGTCGTAGCGACACACCTGGCCAATGCCGTAGATGATGAGCGTGCCCACCACGCCAATATGGGTCACGTTGCCTTATCAGATTCCCTAGGTCGCACTTCCTTGTCACCTTCGCCTGGTCGCGTTATGCATGAGTGTCGCAGCGACGCACCTGGCCAATGCCGTAGATGATGAGCGTGCCCAGCACGCCAATGAATGGGTCGCATTGCTTGCCTTATCAGCTTCGTTAGGTCGTTTCACCAAGTTCTATTCACGCGTGTAGGGCCATCAGTGTCGCAGCGACGCACCTGGCCAATGCCGTAGATGATGAGCGTGCCCACCACGCCAATGAAGCACCATATGAGCTTCGCCAGGTCGCCTTTCGCCGCAGCTTTCCTCCGGTTCATCGAGCTCGACCTACAATCAACGAAATTCACGAAAGAGAAGGGTCGTTCTCGTCGACTTTTCCAGGCGCGATAAAAAGACTGCACCTTGAAGCGTCAGTGAACTCTCAGATTGACGCTAATAGAACGAATTGAATGCTTAAAAAGTTGGGAATTGCCAAACAGCAGGTGATGGAGCAAGAATCGAGGATACATGGCCATGGGGTATGACGTGCGGTCATATGACGGAAGATCGAGATGACGAATAAAATGGCGTGCGGACGTATACGAGCAATAGGGTGTGCATTAAATACCATGTTCACCTGCCATAGTCGAGCGGTCTAGAATGCGGTGCTGTCTCCTGCGTCGAAGCTGCCATGATGACGCTACAGGCCCTAGCAGGACCCCACCACAGCCAATGATATGTGATGTGACATCAGCAAGATTCGAAATATGGGCCAGCAATACGATAGTACGGTTGCTACTAACGAGCTTGGCAAGTCGCCTTCAAGGTGCTACACGCGAGAAATTTGCCGCGAAAAGGTTTCGCCTAGTTGGTTCCTAACACGAAATCTGCTGGTTCTAGGAACGAGGTATTTAGTTTTTAGCAGCAGTTAGGTGGGCTGGGAGGATTACTGAACGAAATGCATCCGCAGTACTTCGAAACTGTTCTACCTTCTTTCAATCACGGATGGTGTTCTCGCTGTTGAATTGCTCGCTTCATCTCGCCCGATCTGGTTACCGACGGTTCAGCACATCGAGATTTGTGATTTTAGATTGGGATTGCTGTGGCGAGCGGCTCTGTTATTGGCTGTGTCGTGGATCTGCGAAGAATGTGTGCGATCGTTTTGGACTCGGGTCGGGGGAGTTCTCGGGGGGGGAGGAGGAGCAGATGAGGGTCCCCCAGGGAGTGGTTACATGGGGGGACCAAGTTCAGCACTGATGTTTTTCTAGCTCGACTGTGCTACTTCAATGCACAAATGGGCCTAGAGTTCAATTGAGTGTCGAACCAGTCTTCGTTGGAACGCGGCCTCAGTGTCAAGGACGATGGCCCGACAGTGCAAGAACCCAAACGAGTAGCTGGTGCGGCTTGGTTCGGGCGGAACGGGACGGGATCAAGCTCGTCGAAATGTCGGCGGAGCGGAGAGGAAGGCCATGACAGGGGCAAGAAAGGAAAGGACTGACCTCTGCCCAGCATCCCTCCGAATTGGAAAAGTTTGCGCGAAAAAGCGCAGTGGATGCGGGGGAACAAAGAGAGGTTTGTGATGGGGGAGGAGGAGGGATGTTTGGGCAAGGGGGGAAAGGAAGGCGGGGAAGGCATTTTGTGTGCGCCAAGGCCGACTGGGGGAGGTTGTTCTGGGGAGGTGGCGTAGTTTGAGAGATTGCACTAACATATAAATGCTTCACCTGATGCATATTGAGAAGTCTCTACATTGTAAAACTTATACCTATGCAGATTGTAAGGATTTATAAATCCTTATTGTAGCAGCCCTTAGCGAGTACATCCCGAGGGCCACGCGACAATCTGGTTTGACCTACAATTCCACACCCAACCCACACCCGAGTCGCCCCCGCACCAATCGCAACCTTTTCCGAGCCACCTTCGACCGACGTCCCCGCCTAGCTAGGAAACAGGGCCCTCGCTATCATACATTTTTGTCTGTTTTTTCTGAAATATCAGACTGTTTTTTTTACTCTAATCTGATATTTTAGAAATGCCTTGGTTGTGAAATCTGATTGATCTGGTTGTGAAATATGTGCGACGTAAAGGCGAAGCGGAGCGCACCGCCTGCAGTCAAGAGCTGGCAAACTGGCGCATATGGTGCCCAACGTGCCCACTTTCGGATGACTGTGGTGAAGCTCTCCCTGCCATTGGTCCAACTTTCGACAGCACAGAAGTTGAGTAGATAGCAGCGACTCGCACCAGCTGTGGTCCAACCCCACGCTGGACGATGGTGGGATTGGGGCACCGCGGTGCATTGCAAGCTCATTCGTGCACCAGATTCAACTTAAAAGGCTCGGCTGGCTCCCCCTCCTGCTTCATCGCTTCCTTCCATCGCTAGCCTAGCAGTCTTTTTGCCCATGCTCATCTTCTCCCATCTTGACATCCTCCTCCTAGGGCTCTGTCGCCATGGATGATGGTGGGGAGGACGACCCCGCTAGCTCCCGTCGTCCGCTTACTGGATTAGATTTCCTGAGAGGCGGTCCTACTACCGCCACGCCAGTGGTAGACCCTTCGAGCCACATACGGTTCCGACCAACGAACCAACAGCAAGCACCGAGCCATGGCCCGAAGTTAACAAGCGGCGAACGCTCAGTGATCCCCCCGTAGACGAGTCGCCCAGTAGAACGACCACACGTGTCGCGGCACCCTCAGTCAGTGCAGTCCGATCTGCAGGCTTTGCTCGGTTCCCGAAGTTCGAGCACTACACTCAGAGCACCATTCGCTTTGCGCGAACGCGCGTGCCTCACGTTCGCATCACGCAAGCTAGGGCGCGATCTCTTGCAACTCCAGCTACTCCGCAGGCATCTGTTACTGGCAGAAACATCCCGCCATCAGATCCAGGCCCGTCTATGCCTTCTCTGTTAGTTCCGGACCCTGATTTGCTTCTCGAAATACTTCAGAAGAAGTGTATCAACTTATGGCAACGTCGGTTCCCCTGGTTGGTCATTTCGCAACGGAAGGATGGCCGCCCGTGCATGAAGTGCAGTGTGTGCATGACTTACGGACTGCCACATTGGCAATACGGCAAGGCGGGTGAGTGTGGCGTGGACATCCGGAAGCAGACCAAGCGCAAACATGGTCTGAGTCGCAAGCACTAGGACGCCCTCGACCGGAAAGCCCGAGCAGAAGGTGGGAGGTTGTCTCAACGGGGGATTGAGGAGTATGAGGACGCGGTGGGGAAGGTTGAGCGTTTGAAGGAACTGCTGTTAGTGGTTCTTTTCATCTGCAAGTTTGATGCTCCTATTGCTCTTTTCGTTGGGCTTGTGCAACTGCTTCACGTTTTGAAGACCCCTAACATTCCCGACAAGGCCATCGGCACATACCAAACAGAGTGAGTAATGTGATTTGTTGTGTATGTATTGCTACCCAACAACTGTGACGAACTAAAACGTTACTTTGATGGCAGGTATGGTTTTCGGCAGATGACGGAGGCGATGGTGAAGCACCTCAAGGCCCGTCAGCTGCAGTACATCCACGAATCCACCTCGACGAGTCCACAGGCAGGAGGAGGGGGAAGCACCTCATCGTCTACCTCAGTTTCCTGAAGGAGGAGAAGGTGGTGACCCGAATTTTCGGTCACCTTACTGTGGAGAAGTGCGACGTATCCTCCTTGCTCGCCGTGCTGAAGGCATATTTGGAGAGCACCGGCCTGGACATTCGCAAAACCTCTGGCATCAGCACGGATGGTGCGAATGTTATGGTCGGTTGTCAGAATGGGCTCGTGGTCCAGCTGCGGATGCGAGTCCCTAACCTGGTCGCGTGTCACTGCCTCGCACACCGGTGAGGATTTATTGCTTTTGTCCTATTTGATTGTTATCATTCATTTTGATTTTCCGTTACTGATGCAAGTTTCTGTCCCTTTCAGTGAGGCGCTCGCGGCCAAAGATTCCGCGACGAACATCCCCGACTTCAACATCATCGACCAGGGGATTCGAGCCATCGCGAATCTCATTGGCGGAAGTTGCGTCGTCCACAACAGGTTCCACGAGCTGCAACATGTTTACCACGAGACAAGCTTGTGTCAAACTATCATGTTGTGTAGGCTATAGTGGGGTAGCCCATATGGGGTACAACCCAATTAGGGTTTGCTACTTGTACTCCTGCATGCTGTTAGTTTCATCATTCTCGTTCATTCTTCTGACATGGTTTCAGAGCAGGTCCTCTCATACGACCGTTTTTTTAGGGCCCACCGTATAGCTCGCTGCCCGTGTCGCGCTACCCCACCCGTCGCGCCGCCCTGCTAGTGCCGCGCTGCCCTGCCCTGCCCCGCGTCGCGCCGTTCGCGCA